GGAGTCAGGGATTTGGCTAAAGCTCAGGGTGAAGAACTGGTATGTGATGACATCAGAAGGGCAGATGAGGACCAGATCATGAAAGTCTTCAATGCCACTCTAAGATTCAGAGCAATGGAAGTCACTGAGAAGTTTTACTAAGTAGAGGGGCAATTCTAAAATTTCCATTTTAAAACATTCATTCACAATCAACAAAATACAAAGTAAGACGAAACTGGATGTTTCATTCCTCAACTTGCAATAAGAAAAGCTGAGAAGAAATCTAGTTATCCTAGACCCCAAACATTGAAGAATTAGCAGTACTTCTGAAAATGAAATAGCAGTACTTCTTTATAGTATCAACTATAAAGAAGGTAGAGATTTGAATGGAGGTTGAATACTTAGGAAGAATTTAAAGCCCCAAATCCCCTCCTTGTCTCAGCTCCGTGGGTGCTCCCATGCTATTCCCACACCCAGTACAAGTCTGGGGCCTTATTCTCCGGAGAGGTCTCTGGACAGCCGGATACCAGGCACGACTGAGAACAGGGCTGTCTACTAAAAGCAAGGCAATTAAATGACAATTTACAACAGACTGAGAATGCTGCTGAGTCCTCACTCCTTCTTCCCAGACACAAGATCAAGTGGACAACCCGCCCCCAAGGAAATCCCTAAAGATACCGATACCAGAGCTGAACAACAACCTGCCCGGCCAAACCGCCAGACACTGAAGGTACCATCAGCACCTAACCACAGCCTCAGAGCTGCCAGCCGGCCCTTGAGTTGAACATGAGCAGCTGAGGATCATCAGACCCCTGAGAAAAAAGCATCTAACAAGAAAGACAATCAAACAAATGGGGGTGGGGGAGGTGGGGGGCGGATCTGGAGACAGCAGAAATTCCCCCAAAAGTATAGAGGAAAACAAGACACAGGAAAGAAAAGGTAAGAAAAGTGATGCCGTCCAAATGATAGGCATTCCAGAAAGAAGAAAGTGCAGGCAACATCACAACGAAAACTTCCCAGAACTTAAACAAATGAGTTCCCAGGCTGGGCGTGCCCGAGTCCCCACGCATCACAGCCCGGCACAGTACTGTGAAACGTCAGACTAGGGGCAAAGAGAAGACCTCACAAGCCTCCAGAAAGGGAAACAAGTGACACACAGGCAGGAAACAGAAAAATAAGGCAATAATGAAAGCTAGAAACAATGGCACAATACCTTTAAAGCTCTAAGTGAAAATGATTTGTAATCTAGCTTTCTATACCTGGCTAATTACTTGATTCTGAGGATAGAATAAAAGCATTTTCAGATGAAGACTCAGAAAATTTACTTCTCATGCACTCTTTTATTAACAAGCTAATAAATGTTATATTTTATTGAATTAAAAAAGATGGCAAGAGATTAATTAAAGGGGGGATCTAATTCAAAAGAGAGGGGATAGATGGTTCCAGAATGAAGGTGAAGGAAGGCCAGTAGGACAGCTATGCAAAGTAGAGCACAACCAGAAGATCCAGGATGACGATTAATGTCAGGAAAAGCAAAAAGCCGCACCTTAAAAGGAAAATCAGTCATACGTTATCACAAGACACAGGAAGAGCATTTTGATAGTAATAAGGCAACTACTGATTACTGACCTATTTACTGAAATTACTACCTAGCGACACTGGATGGACGGGAGGATGGGATTTGTTCCTGTGTGGAGCGCAGGGACAGCGTGAGTTAAACGATGAAAAATAGTTAAATCTTTATCTTCAAAATCAGGACATCAACTGAGAATCATTCAAAATGAAAATCAATAGTTAAAAAAAAAGAGAAAGCATGCTATTTTGAGATCAGGACGGAACTTTCACAAGAATCCTCTGAATGAAAAAGCAGAAGAGATTTCCCCTATGAGTAGTTCACTGGAGGGAGAGGAACGCACAATGCACAGTTGTTTCTTTTTTTTTTTTTTAAACAAGCCTTGCAGAATCTTTTGACTCTTTAAACTATGTGCATGTATATCTGTGATAAAAATTTTTTTTTAAGTATTTTAAGTATGGGATCAAAAAGCTAGACAATGTATTTCCAATTCCAATTTCAAGGGGCAGGGGAGGGAGGGGAGAAGATCTCACGAGAATAAGATCCACTAATTCCAGACTGGGTCAAACATTTTTGAAGTTCTTCAGCATCCACTTCACCATCCTGTTAAAAAAATAATTATAACCTGGTGTAATGCACAGTTGTGTAAAAGCATATTAAAACACTAATTGGCTGTCCTAGGTCAATCAGTAAATACGTATTCTTCAAAATATTACTCTATTATCAACTATAAAATTATAGAGAGAATTATTGACAGAAAAGGCACATTACAGATCGATCATACAGCACAAGTAATTTTTTCACAAATTATAGTCTATTAATTTTTCAAGTATTTCAAATAAAATTTTTTGTTTCTGAAAAATAGCAAAATCACTTTTTCTTATAATAGCTCAAAATACTATCTGGCAAGAATCATTGTATTTCTATTTAAAATAGTTAGAAAATGCCCAAAATGTGTTCAGAGAAGTGTCAAAAAATGTTCCCGTCATGTCCATTTTGGGGGAAATTATTTCTAAAGAATACTAAAGCTTTTTTAACTGAGAGGAAAAATTATCTTTTTTCCCCCCAGCCTTACCTCGAGCAAACTTTAGAGTCCCTTGCATTTTGCTACTATTCTTCAGATTATCACCCAAACATTCTTGTTTGAACTTATTATGTGAAATAAAATTTTTAACAAACAAGAAATCACAATGGAAGTGAAAGAGGTTGAATACTCTCATGTTTCAGTACTTCATCTTATTTTCTACAAAAATACAGAGTAATTTACTTGGAGGCATCACAAATATTATCACAAATGTAAAACAGTAGCACTGAGAGAGGATCAAGAAGGCAAATTTAAAACGAGCTTTGTAAGAGCCCCAAGAAATAAAAATAACTTTTACAAACTATTTCTAAGGAACACTCTAAATGTTCATATTCTAATAGATCTTTAGCAAAGAATTCGCTGTAACAAAACTTCCAGTGGTTCTAACAGGAAAAATACTGAGAAGCCCTCTTCTCAATAGACTATCCATGTCTACATGGGTACATATTTGGGAGATTTTGCTTATAAAATTTTTAATTCAGTAGTTAGAAAATTAGTCTTTAAAGAAAAACTACAGATATTTTTAGATAGGGAGCTAGGTTAGAAATTTTTCATCTGATACTTTTTTCAATTTTCCTCCAATTACTGTATTTCAAGATACTGAAAAACCAAGAGCATATTTCTAATGTCACCCAAAAAGGAATTATGGATTAAAAAAAAAAGACCAATCAATGAACTACAGCTACCAGTGTCAACAATATCTCAATGAAATGATGACACAAATGCCAGGTCACTGTCAATTAAGAGTAAATTTTAAAGGACAATCTTTTATAAATTATTAAAACAGAAGTAGAGGTAGAAATGATTTTCTTTCTTTTAATTTAAAAAATGTTTCCAGTCTTCTAGTACACTGAAGATAATATTTTTTCTTTAACTTTTCTTAAGTGGGAAGATGGTATTCTGCTTGAGAATTACTAAGCTTCATCAATTGTTATCTCAATTATAAGAATAATATACTGTGCAAACATAAGGCTCAAATTTGAAGCTTTCTAGAAAAGAGAAATTAGAATTTACTAAAAATCTGTGCCAATCCAATTAAAATGAAGGGAAATCAATCCTATGTGGTCTGATAGTACCTGTTCAAGTAAGAGTTTCTTCTATATTTTCTACAAAAGTCCACTTAGTGCACAGAAGACCTCTCTCTAAATTCTCTTTCCAGAGACAAAGAAGGAACCTTGAAGAAAGAGTATGGAAGTTCTTTTGTAGAGAAAGAACCAAGTTTATAGAGAAGCAAAACTGAAAAGTTTTAGGCTTAAGAAATATACATCAAAGGTCAGTATAAATTCAATTTGAATTAAAGAATATGAAATTATTTAGTCATTGTTAACCCTTTTGGAATGGAATGAAACTGAGAAAATATCTTCTTATTTCCCCTCCCACAAAATAAAAGAGTTTTAGACTTCATTTGTCAAATTTCTCCTGGCTCCTTTACCTGCAAGGCCCACATGTCCTTTCCCCCGCTTCCCGGCCCTATGACAAGGTGGCTGACAGTCTGTTTATATGTCTCGTACTACAGACATGACTGTGTCATCTTTCCTTGAAAAACTAAGTTTATTATTTTATCAGACTCGAGAACTAAATGCTGTAAAAGTCAGGAAATTTCCAATTCATGAAAACATCCCAGAGCAACGTAAGTTCTTATCTTTTATAAACTCTTCATCTTACAAAACTTTTTTAAGTCACTGAAATATAAAATCCTTTACCTTACATTGTTCTAATAAACATTTGGGCTTGTCTTCCAAGAACAAGCAGATTAAAACATAAGTTTTTTATATATATATATATATATATATGCATATCTTACACATACAAAATTGTCATATAAGTCGGACAGGCTTTACGGACTTAAACAGGGTCAATATCAAGGGGCAGCAACGGAAGTGAGTGCTACTTCCTTAATTTAAAAATTGGATATTTATTCATCATAGCCTTTTTGTCACTAATATCATGTTTTTAAAAAAATAATGCTATTTTATATAAATGCTTAAGGAATGCCTCACTGATAAGGTATGTTTTGAGAAAGATATGAAGAAAGTAAAGGGGCAGACAAGGAATTAATGGATTAAAAAAAAAAGACCAATCAATGAACTACAGCTACCAGTGTCAACAATATCTCAATGAAATGATGACACAAATGCCAGGTCACTGTCAATTAAGAGTAAATTTTCAAGGACAATCTTTTATAAATTATTAAAACAGAAGTAGAGGTAGAAATGATTTTCTTTCTTTTAATTTAAAAAATGTTTCCAGTCTTCTAGTACACTGAAGATAATATTTTTTCTTAAACTTTTCTTAAGTGGGAAGATGGTATTCTGCTTGAGAATTACTAAGCTTCATCAATTGTTATCTCAATTATAAGAATAATATACTGTGCAAACATAAGGCTCAAATTTGAAGCTTTCTAGAAAAGAGAAATTAGAATTTACTAAAAATCTGTGCCAATCCAATTAAAATGAAGGGAAATCAATCCTATGTGGTCTGATAGTACCTGTTCAAGTAAGAGTTTCTTCTATATTTTCTACAAAAGTCCACTTAGTGCACAGAAGACCTCTCTCTAAATTCTCTTTCCAGAGACAAAGAAGGAACCTTGAAGAAAGAGTATGGAAGTTCTTTTGTAGAGAAAGAACCAAGTTTATAGAGAAGCAAAACTGAAAAGTTTTAGGCTTAAGAAATATACATCAAAGGTCAGTATAAATTCAATTTGAATTAAAGAATATGAAATTATTTAGTCATTGTTAACCCTTTTGGAATGGAATGAAACTGAGAAAATATCTTCTTATTTCCCCTCCCACAAAATAAAAGAGTTTTAGACTTCATTTGTCAAATTTCTCCTGGCTCCTTTACCTGCAAGGCCCACATGTCCTTTCCCCCGCTTCCCGGCCCTATGACAAGGTGGCTGACAGTCTGTTTATATGTCTCGTACTACAGACATGACTGTGTCATCTTTCCTTGAAAAACTAAGTTTATTATTTTATCAGACTCGAGAACTAAATGCTGTAAAACTCAGGAAATTTCCAATTCATGAAAACATCCCAGAGCAACGTAAGTTCTTATCTTTTATAAACTCTTCATCTTACAAAACTTTTTTAAGTCACTGAAATATAAAATCCTTTACCTTACATTGTTCTAATAAACATTTGGGCTTGTCTTCCAAGAACAAGCAGATTAAAACATAAGTTTTTTATATATATATATATATATATATGCATATCTTACACATACAAAATTGTCATATAAGTCGGACAGGCTTTACGGACTTAAACAGGGTCAATATCAAGGGGCAGCAACGGAAGTGAGTGCTACTTCCTTAATTTAAAAATTGGATATTTATTCATCATAGCCTTTTTGTCACTAATATCATGTTTTTAAAAAAATAATGCTATTTTATATAAATGCTTAAGGAATGCCTCACTGATAAGGTATGTTTTGAGAAAGATATGAAGAAAGTAAAGGGGCAGACACCTGAGGGAAAGAGTTCCAAGCCTGGGTTGTCCAATTTCGCCGCCATTAACAATTATGTTCCACTGAGCACTTAAATGTGGCTAGTGAGAACTGAGAGGTTCTGTAAGTGAAAAATACACACAGATTCTCAAGACTTAGTAACAAAAACAGTCAAATATTTTGTAAGTTTTATATTGATTTCATATTTATGTTAGTATTTTTTTTATATATTGGGTTCAATTTATCAAATTATTATAAAAATTAATTTCACCTATTTTTTTTTTGTACTTTTTAAAATGTACTACTTGAGGCTTTAAGCCTACATATGTGGCTTGCACTTGGGGTTCATATTATATTCATTTTGGACATTGCTGTTCTAGGCAAAAAGAGTAAGTATAAAGATCAGAGTGTGTTCTTGGTGTCACTATAATCTTTATCCGTTCACCTTTTACCATTTCTTTACCTATGTCATTTTCATTTCCTACATGTCAATCCCTCTGAATAGAGAGATCTTTGTAAATTTCATTCATCTTTGCATCCTCAGGTCCTGGTGCAAAATCTAGTATAAAGCAGATTTGTTGTTCGGTAGAATGGAGACAATTACCATTGGTTCTTGGGTTAAACTATAGTCATTTTTGACAGTTTGTGGCCATGTTCATTTACTATTCCAAAAGGTTGAAAAGATTAAAATTTCTCATTGAAGTGTGGATTTAATTAAAACATCTAAAATCTAATTAGTTAGTTAAATTCTATTTTACATGTGCTTTCAATACAATTTTGGGAGTCAGAAAAACAACCTGAACAGCTTTGCCAAAAGTTACCACTATCAGAAAGCATTCTCCTAGCACACTACTTCATACTAACATTTCATACATTTTATGAAAACTTGCTATCTTAGTTGACTGACAAATAAGAAATGTCTTCCTAAACTTTATGGAGAAAATCCAAGTGGTAGTTTTGGATTTCTTTACCTACAGTTTGAGCTGATGTTCATGATCAACTGTATACCCTCAACTGAATCACACAGCATTAGTGGTAGAAAACAGGATTTTCTAATTAAATAATAAGAGTTTTAGGTAGATCATTAATAAAAAAACAAATTGTCATTGGTTAGCTTAACTGATAGGAAGATTTTGAAAGGATATTCAAGCATTAAGTCCCATTTTTTCAGTTACTCAATCTTAATCACCACTTACTCTCTATAATAATTAATTCCTATCCGATCTACCTCACAGAGCTGCTGTGTGGAAAAGGAGAAGTAGCATGCACATTAGAGTTAAAGTTGTTAGTATTAGTTGACTGACAAATAAGAAATGTCTTCCTAAACTTTATGGAGAAAATCCAAGTGGTAGTTTTGGATTTCTTTACCTACAGTTTGAGCTGATGTTCATGATCAACTGTATACCCTCAACTGAATCACACAGCATTAGTGGTAGAAAACAGGATTTTCTAATTAAATAATAAGAGTTTTAGGTAGATCATTAATAAAAAAACAAATTGTCATTGGTTAGCTTAACTGATAGGAAGATTTTGAAAGGATATTCAAGCATTAAGTCCCATTTTTTCAGTTACTCAATCTTAATCACCACTTACTCTCTATAATAATTAATTCCTATCCGATCTACCTCACAGAGCTGCTGTGTGGAAAAGGAGAAGTAGCATGCACATTAGAGTTAAAGTTGTTAGTATTATTGACATGCACATGTGTGTATTTATCAAGGTACAAAACAGAATTTCCCCTAATAAACTAGTGATTGAATCATTACTGTTCAGAAAACATTATCCCATAAAAAGAAACACTGCAGAAACCTTTAATTGGATATTTGTCATAGAGCATCATTATTCATGAGGCTGATCAAAAAGACTCCAGTTACAGAGAAGAGTCAGTAATTGGGCTCTAGGACCATAATGGCTATAGGTCTGATATTATACCTGATTCTTTAAAGCTAGGCAAAATTCAACATATGAAATCTATATATGTAGACTAAAAATTGAAAATGAGATAGTTTATGCATCTATTGACACACTGAATGACTAATATATGCATCTATTGACACACTGAATGACTAATATATTTCTAGTGCCTACTTGATAAGGGAGACTATGACAAAGGCTAAGTCCTCATAGAATGTAATTACTCAAAAGCACAAGACTGCAGAAAATTGAAGAAAAGTGTCAAACAGTAAAAACAGCAAATTGTTGTTGGCAGTTGTGAAACTGAAATAGCTCAGATGTCAGTTAAAAGTCTCTGAATATGCATGTCCAGTTATTTTTTAAGTTGTAATTTCATAAAACAGATTTATTATATTGTCAGTAAATAGGTAGACCTATTCCCGGTATTATACTACTTACGAATTCCTTACAGATAAAAATAGTATAATGTAACATGACTGCATTTAGCTGCAAACAATGGGAAATGCTATTAAGGACAATAGCATTTATTGTTTTATGCAAGATGTCTGAGGCTAGGCGGAACAAGACTGTATGGCACTTTAATGACGCAATCAACCTCTTCACATTTTTCTACATTTCCTATCCATGAGTCTTTATCTCAAGCTTGTTGCCTTAAGGTCACTACCTCCAAACCTTAAGTCCCTTTCTAGGCAGGAAGAATGAAGAAACACAAAGGACAATACTAATTTCCATGGTTTTTCTCATTTGGTAAAGGAAAGCATCCCAAAGAAATTGCATCTATATCTCAATAGCCAGGCCTATGGCACATGGCACCTTTACTAGTTACAAAGGGGTCTGGGATGGTGAGTGTTAGGGCTAACCTCTGCAACAGAAGAGAAAGAAAAAGAAGGTTATGAATGAAATTGGGGTCACAAAAACAAAGTGTCTGCCACATATATTAATTCTGTGTCTATCATCTGTTTCTAGCAAAGCATATGGGACCTAGTGAATGCTTAAGTGAATGAATAATGAATGAAAAATGTTATCAAAGTTCTATGAGATTCAAAATGCAGTAAATTTTTCGTGAACAGTATAAAAGAAAGGAGATATGGAATGTGACTAAGACTCAAGTGTGAATCTGGCTCTGCTGATTAGTCTGATATTTGAACCTCCATTCTGCCCTGTTGTCTTAACCTGCTCCTCATGTACTCTACCATCAATCCTCTCCCAGAACCATCCACAATTTATATGTCTCCTTTTTGCTATTCTGCCCAGCTTCCTCAAGAATTTTATCTTGAGATCTCTGTTTTCCAGATCATCTCTGACTCCGTTTCCTCTTTTAGTGCAATGAATAATGCATCATGGATCATACTAACAGACTCTTAAAACTGAAATAATCATCACGACTCTTATCTCTGATCTCAGGAAGATTAGTCTGGATCAGTTTATAATACAAATTGCATACATATTTAAAATGATACCCTAAATTAAAAAGTTGATATTTCTTTTAAACAGCAATCATTTTTTTCAAACTGATAATTGTGCATTACATTGAGAATCTCACCTGCCCGGCAATAGCAGAGAAATACGTCCACATGGGGTCTCCTGCTGCAGAATAACTGTCTGAATATGCAGGGTACCCAGAGCACGCACCAGGGAGTAAGATGGGCCCTGGCAGCGGCTGTCCCCTCTGCATCTGCATTCCTGCCACATAACCACTAAAGTTTCCAAACTGTGAGAGTAAAAAAGGAGAAATCTGGTAATTACAAATATTATAAAATTTACACAAATATAAATACAAATTATTACCTATAACCCACCAAAGTCAATTTAAAAGAAAACATTTATGAGGAGTCCACTGAAAAGCAGGAAGAATTACCAGTTACCAAGTTCACTACCACAAAAGCTGTTACCTAAAAATGCTAGATAGATATCCTACATGCAGATATAATTCAGGTGATTAGTATATGTTACCCAGCATCAAAATAAGTATACCAGAAAAAAAAAAACCTCCAGCCTCTAAAAACTTCATCTAATAGATGAACATGAGGCACAATTCAAAAAGAGTTTACCATCGTATCATTAGAGAAAAAGTAAAAAAAAAAAAAAAACTTCACCTGCAGTGAAACTAATAAGTAATATATCTCAAGACACATACATAAAAGAATCAATGGTAAATGCAATATGCAATGAAATTGTGAATTAATCATGAGAAACTGCATAAGCTTGAAACACTCTACCAGAAAATATTCATTTTTTAAAAAGCAAGACGCCAAAAACAGATCATTAAAGTGATAATTCCAGCAACAGTCCTCTTCAAAACCAGTAAGCATAGAACAACAAAAATACCAACAATAATAATATGCAGCTAATATTTACTGAGAGCTTTATATATCCCAGGTACTGTTCTAAGTACTTTCCGTCTATTATGTGATTATTTTCTAACAACTCTATGATGTATGTAAGCATTATGCCCTGTTTGCAATTGAGGACCTGAAACTTCAGGTTTCCTGACCTGTTAAGGTCAAATAACTAGTAAGGAGATCACTGTTCACATATAGTCTGACCCCAGAGGCCACATACTGTTTGTCTCCGGCTATGGCTATGGGCCTCTCTTACTTTCTTCTTCACTTTGGAACGTTGTATACATATTTAATACCTTAGAAAGGCATTTTACTCAGCATTTTTATGAGTCTGGAGGAGGAATTAGTATCGTGATTGTAAATTATTCCATTTGGAACAAAAATCTTGACCTGCATCCGCGAAGGATGAGCAGAGATTTCCAAAAGGCAAAAACAGAAAAGAATTCTAAGTATGAGGTGAGGAAAGGACAAAGAGTAAGAGACTACAAGTAGTTTGAACAGCTGCGGTATGTATAAGGGCAAGGGCAAGCAAGAAGTATGGGAGCTCCAGGAAATGCATTCAAGGAGGTAGTTAAAAACTGGATTATGATGAAATGAAAGACAAAAAAGGAAACCGTAAACATTAAGAGAATGGATTAAAAACATAAAAAATAGATGTGATGGTTAATCTTGATTTTTGAAAAGCGGAGACCATCAAAGGATCTGTCACCTTCAAAAATAAAGAGTATATAACCACAAATTACAATTTCCAACTTTCAAAAGAGATGCAGAATAAACAGGTATGTAAAAAAGAGTAACCCTACCCCGGCCAAAAAAAAAAATGGGTCTAGAGGAACAGATTGCCTTTGGACAGAAAACAAGAAGTGGTCAAAAAATTCGGAAAGAGAATGTCTACAAAGCTAACGGCAGGGGGCGGGGGATGGAGGAACCACAAAAGATTACTGGAACAAGAAAAGGGTGCTTTGTTTCCCCGGTCCAGGAAGGAAATTTCTATCAACACACTACATCCCTGGCCTCGTAAGGACGCGTCTAAGCGGCCCTGAGGGTTCGGAACCCCTGCGGCTCTCCGTGGGATGCCCGGCCGGCTCCGTACAGAGGCGGGCGACGGGAGCAGGGGCGGAGGGCGGGCCCGGCGTGTAGGCACCGCCCGCGGGGGCGGGGGCGCAGGACGCGACGAAGCGGACAGGACTCACCCCTCCTCCGTATCCCGGGTATGCCATGACAAGCCGAGCGAGCGTCCCCGTCACCCGCCACCCGTCACCCTTCGAGTCAGCGCACGCCTCGCTGGCACAAAGGCTCAGATGCAAACACAGGCGCAGGTGCAAGGTGAGGCGGAAAGACGCGCCGGCCGCGCCGAGTGCTTCCCCGGGACCGCCCCCTCTCGGGCAAGCCCCGCCCTGCCCGGCTCCTATTGGCCGAGTCCCGCCCTTCGGCGCTCACCCGGCCGAATCCTGACCCTACCCTGCGTCCAGTCCCACCCTCCTGTCTCTAATTGGCCTCCAGAGCACAGCCCCTTCCTCCTCGGTTCCTATAGGTTCCTTCAGGTCTCGCGCGCTCTCCGCACTAAAACGCGAAGGAGCCTTTTGCTTCGGTGATTTCCACCTGGGAAGGGCTCCCAGGGCCAAAGTTTCTCTTCTTCTGCGGGAACCCCCAAAACCGGCCCTTCCATGACTTCTGTTAACCTACTCCTCTACTCTTTTCAGCGGGAGTTCCAAATACATGTGTGTAAGTTTCAAGACAGCAGAGTTACTCAGATTTATATTTGCGTAAGTTGATGTCACATTATCAGAAACTTTGAAGCCTTGACTTCTGCGCCAAGGTGAGTGCTTCTGAGCTAAAACCAACTTGACGCCAGTTTTTCCCAAAGGGTTATTTGTATTTTGGTAGGTAAGTGGTGACTAGAGTTGCCAGATTTAGCAAATAAAAGTACCAAATGTGTAGTTATATTTAATTTTCAAGTAAACAATGATTTTTCTTTTAATATAGGTATGTCCCAAATATCGCAGGAAACACGCACTTACACTAAAAAATTATTCGCTGCTTTTCGCTGATAATATACAGGGGGCAACCCTACCACTGACTCAACCTTTGGGCAAACTCATTAAGATGTTCCTCCCAATTATATCCCAGCTCAGTGAGAAGTTAAATGCTCAATTATTTTAATATATTAGGCAATAGTAATGGACAATTCTGCTTTTCTCTGGAACTCAAATGAGTTGTGTACCTCCCTCTGGCTTTGAAAAAACAGGACAGCAGTAGCTTTACCTTAAAAATAAGGAAAGATGAGGGTGGTGTTATTATGGGATATCTCTGAAGAATATGCCAACCACTAAAACATTTCTTAAAAATAAGAATGTGAAAAAAAAAATAAGAATGTGGACAAAAAAATGTTAACTATCTATTAGTTGGGGAAGTCAGCCTTGCAAAGCTGAGTAACAATTGCTTGGAGGAGGAACTTGTAGAGGAGGAACACGTTAAACCTTGTGAAACCTAACTTTATCAGGAAGAGACACACAGAAAGGAAGATTGCTAACCTACAAGCTACTGTGGAGAAAATGTGCATTCGTTCCCTTAACATCAGATGATATCACATCCTTCACAGTTCCTGGCAGTGTATCTTGCTTAGAGAAGGAGCTACCCAAGGATTTGCTACTGAACAGCTGCAGAATATACCATCCCCAAAACACGGCACTTTGGCCTAAGGGTTATTGTGAATTGAAGGCAGTGAGAAGCAGCAGCAAAAAAAGGCTCTGCTCTCCCTCTGTCTGCCTAAAAGCAGGAAATTTATGAAAGTGTCCCTCTTCCCCTCTCTGCCAGAAAGGACAAAGATTATTGCTCTGAGGCAACTTTAGACCCGTATCCATGAAGACTGGACACACCTGGGTCTGCATAACAAACCTCACACTTGTTTACGCTGCTTTTCCTGATAACCTGCCCATAGCTCTGCCCAACCCCTTTCTCCCTTTTCTCTTTTGCTGAAGATGGTATCTAAGCTGGAGTTCTAAGCCATGTAGAGTTTTAGTCATTTCTCCCTGTGTACTTACCAGGTATACATGAAAATACATGTTTATAAACTTATGGGTTTTTTCTCTTATTTATCTGTTTTTTGTGATGGGGGTCTCAGCCAAGAATTCAGAAGGGTGAAGGGAAAATTATTTCACCTCCTGAGCACAACCGTGTACCATGAGATACAGAGAGGAATTTCAGCACCACAGTCTGCAGCACCTCTCTCTCTAAACCTAGTATTTCAAATTATAAATTATCTATTGTAGGAATTTAAAAATTCAAATGAGCCTATACGGAGTTTAAAAAAAAATAATAGTAATGAAAATTTGCCTTTTGACTCAGGTAGTATTGTATGAAGAATATCATTTTATGAAACTACTGTATAAAAATAAATATTAAATTATATATTTTTCTTTTCCATTATTCTAAAAAATATTCCATTATTCCATAAAAATAGATATTTATGGACTGACTGTGATGTAAAGCACCACAGTCTGCAGCACCTCTCTCTCTAAACCTAGTATTTCAAATTATAAATTATCTATTGTAGGAATTTAAAAATTCAAATGAGCCTATACAGAGTTTAAAAAAAATAATAGTAATGAAAATTTGCCTTTTGACTCAGGTAGTATTGTATGAAGAATATCATTTTATGAAACTACTGTATAAAAATAAATTATATATTTTTCTTTTCCATTATTCTAAAAAATATTCCATTATTCCATAAAAATAGATATTTATGGACTGACTGTGATGTAACAGGCACGGTATGTTGTGAGGTGCTATTCTCCCAAACACTACCATCAGGTATATACAATTACTATTTCCATTTTAAAGGGTGAAAATGTTGGTAGTTGCATGTCTCTTATCCATTGTTGCATAGTTGTTAGCAAAGCTGAGATATTTACCCAGTGTGGCTGAATAATATAGTCTCTTAAACACTGTATTTCCTCTTCCCTCCCCACCCCCCAACCATACTATTTCCAAAAGAGAATAAATATAATTACATGATGAGAGGAAAGGGTTTAAAGAGTACAAAAATAACACCAGAAACTAGATGAATAAACAAGAAAATGCATTGTTTTTACTAAGTTTTGCCAATCACATTATTTATTTTACACAAGATACATATTTTCTGATGACTGTGAAGCCTTCATGATTATGTCTACTCATGGTATTTCTTCCGAACTTTGGTGGCCTTTGATCTTATCATAAATTTAGGTATTTGGTTAACTAGCTTCATTTACCAGCATAATATAAACAATTAATTATGTTTTCCTTTCCTGTTCCACCTCGTTTCCTCTTTCCCTCCCTATAGAATGGCAGTGGAGGTGGGGAGGGAAGAGCCATGAGAGGACATGAGACAAGAGTAAAAATTTCACTGCTCAGCAAACCTCCTTTCCAGAGCCAGAGCCTACCTCTGTCTTGGAATTTGTTCATATGCTAAATACAATAACTAAATAAATAAGTAAGCACGCTAACTACTGAAAGACAACATTGATAGAGCTGATTTTGTATCACTAAGAAATTGCACTTAGAGTAATGCATTTACTCAACAAGTATTTATTAAATCTCTGTGATGTAGTTTAGAAGGAAAAAAAAAATACCAAGGTGGGGGGAATGTCCTTGCCTTTCTGGAGTATACATTCTAGCAGGGGGAACAGACAATAATAAGTAAAGATAATGAATAAATAAAGGGTATGGCCTCTTGGATGATAATGCTGTGGAACAAAAGGAAAATGAATGCAGGGATAAGGGTAGGGAGGTGAAAGGGTAGGTCACAGTACTAAATGGGATGTTCAAGGTGACCTCTTTAAAAAGATGAGGTTTGAGCAAAGACTTAAAGGACGTGAGTGAGTTAAACATGTAATTATCTATAGGAAGAATATTCCAGGCAGAACTAGTGCTACGGTCCTAAGGCAGAAGCCTACTAACCTGTTTAGAGAACAAGTGGAGGCCAGTGAGTCTGGTGTGGACCGAGCAAGAGGGAAAGCCATAAGTCGTGAGGGTGGTCACAGATCAGGGACGTCGGGACAGATCCCACCGGCCTATGTAGGCCATGGTAAGGGCTTTTCTTTGATACTCTGGGTGCGATAAGGAACATTGAAGGTCCTGGAGCCTTAGGGAGATATGATGTGACTTAATTTTTAAAGGACCACTCTTTCAGCTAAGTTGACAATAGACCAAAGGAGGTCAGTTAGCAATCTGTTGGTGACTTAGAGATGATGGTGACTTACCAGGGGCATGCCATAAATATGGTGAGAAGTGGTGAGATTTTTAAGGTACAGCCCTCAGGACGTACTGATGTTTTGGATTTGCCCTTTAATGACATGGTGACAAAGGTTCTCTCCTTGACCAAACTCTAGCCAGGTTCTCCTGATCCCTCTTCTTGACTAGGCCTTAATCCTGGCCTATAAACCACTTGAACAAACACTCATACAGATAACGACAGCTCGTGGCTGCCTCCCTAGGATGCCTCTAGCTCCTTTTAAAGGGCCTATGTGAGAAAACCAAGAAAACCCGAGGCCGCCACAAGAATGTACTGTTTGTTCCAGCCTTCACCTCGGACCCCTGGTTCTGAGGAGGCAGGGGGCCTGGAGAGGGTTCACATGGACTAAATCCCTCTTCCTGCCTTTTGTCATTTTTTTCTTCCATGACTCCACTCAGAGAGCTTCTACTTCTCTCCCTCTTTATTCCCTCATTCTCCCTTTAAAATGTCTAGTCACCCTCTGTACAAATCAAAGTTGAGTTCAGTTCATGTTGGAATCTTTTCCCTATCATTATTATTATTATTTCCCTATTATTAGTGGTATATTACCAATGAAAATCAATCTTGCCACCTTAGTGTCCAGCTTTGTTTATCTTTGCCAATGGTGGAGACTTGGGGGAGAGCTGTTGGGATGGCCAGATCAACGTCAGTGGTGGACATGTTGCTCTGAGACGCCTATGAAACTGATAATGTCGGGTAGGCTGTTGATCTAAGAGGCTGGCTGGAGTGAACAGCTTAGCTAGTGAGGATGCCAACCAACCACCCATAATCTGCATCTTAATTAGCCTTGTTATTCTCCACTTGATACGTATGCAGCAACTGTTGAGAAATATGGAAGAATTCAGTGAGAGGCAGAGGGTGTCCTCCAAAATGGCCCTAAAATGAAAATTAATTGCTAATTCCAGTAATGAAAGTGAGAGGAGCCAAAGATTAATGCCTCTTTGATATCATTGTCTGTAAAGAGTAATAAGTAATAGAAATAGCTTTCATGGATTAAAGATGCAGTTTATTATGCATGCATAATGATTCTGGTAACCTTTAAATCCATGTAGCTTGAGAAACTACACACACATACAACATCTTAGTCAGCTCCTGCTACCTTAACAAAATTCCCTAGGCTGGATGGCTGAAACAACAGGAATTTATTTCTCACAGTTCAGAAGACTGAGAATCCCAGATCGAGGTGCCAGCAGAGATGGTGTCTGGTGAGGCCGCTCTCCTTGGGCTGCAGATGGCTACCTTCTCCCTGCCTCCTCATACGGACCTTCCTCCGTGCATGTGGGTGGAGAAGGACAGAGGTGCAGGTCTGTGTGGTCTCTTCTTATAAGGACACTAATCGTGAAGGTCACTCCTTCTTAACCACATGTAAATCTCATTACCATCCAAAGACACCCATCTCCAAATACTATCACACTGAGGGCTGGGGTTTCAACAAATAAGTTTTAGGGAG